ATTTTGAAAACAAGTCCTGTTGAGAACTCAAAGACTCTATTCTCAAGGTCAGAATTTCTCCCATCTCGCCTGAAGGAAGTACTTGAGTTTGCCAGAGAGAAAAGAAATTCTTAGGGACTGCCTCAGGTCCAGAACCATAAGCAATGTTCTGGACCAGCGTACAAAGAATTAAGCAGAGAAAAGTTGGGAAGTTTGAGGTTGTAAGTGAGGAATCAATGCTATACCATTTAATCTGTTTTGTTTTTGCTTTTGCTTTTCATTTATGTTCCTGAGCATTTACTACAGGCCTGGCACTTTCAAACTGTTGATGTCACTCTTTTATATCTATTGTCATTTTTTATAATTCCATACATTAGTACCGTATTTACATCATTTCCATTCTTCACGCTCTCCCTTCGAGTTCCTCCTGTGCACTCCATCCATGTCCTCACTTTAATCCAGTATAGGCCACAGGAGGTAGTAATATAACTGGTATTCAGACAGGATAAGTAATTTTCTCAGAACATAAACAATCCTTCTTGGAAAACAATCCTGGGCACTTACCTGTATCTGGTTGGGTTCAAATTTGGGGTGTGTGTGTGTGTGTGTGTGTGTGTGTGTGTGTGTGTGTGTGTGTGTTTTAAATTTAAGATTTGTGTGAGTGTTTTGCTCACATGTAGGTATGTGTACCACATGTACAAACTGGTACCCAAAGAGGCCAGGAAAAGGCATCAGAATCCCTGAAGCTGGAGTTACAGAAGATTGTGAGCAACCATGATAGTGCTGGGAACCAAATCCAGCAGAGGACCACTGAGCCACCTCAGCAGCCCCAATTTTGAAACCAATTGTCTTAGTTACTGTTTCCAGGAAGAGACACCATGACCGAGGCAACTTACAGAAGGAAGCATTTAACTGGGGCTTTCATACAGTTTCCGAGGGTTAGTTTGTGACCATCATGGAGAGAAGCTTGGTAGCAGGCAAACAGACACGGTGTTGGAGCAGTAGCTGAGAGCTTACCTCTGATCCACAGGCATGATACAAAGAGCTGGGAACTAACTGGGAATGATATGGGCTTTTAAACCCTCAAAGCCCACTCCCAGTGCACACATCCTCCAACAAGGCCTCACCTCCTAATCTTTCTCAAACAGTTACACCAAGAATTCAAACGTGTGAGCCTCTGGGGCCCATTCTCACTCAAACCACACCACTCATTTAATTTGTTACCTACAATCTGTTCATATACTAGCAAGCAAGGAGATATAGTTTAGGCTCAATGGTCTTTACCAGCCTCGCTCAATGGTCATGTTGCTCGTACTTGCCCCAACCTGTGGTGAGGATGGGGTGATGAGGAACACACAAATTTGGACATTTCTGTCTCTTCTGGATAACAAAATGATACAAACTGTCCAAGAGACCAGTGAGCACAATAAGGTAGTTGCAAATAAATTTTCAGTTCTATTTCTTTTAGCTTGATGATTCTCCAACCAGGTATTTAGTCTTCCTGAGGCTTAACGTCCTTTTCTGCATAGTAGAGAAAAACAATAGCAATTATCTTATAGTTTTAAGGATTGAGGGAGCCAATGTATATAAAGCATTTAGTTCAGAACGTGACATATTTTAAGTATTAAAGTTATTGTCGCTGTTATCACACTGATTTTAAATTGTGTCCAGCCCGCGCTGTTTTTCCTTTCTGGTGAAGCGCAGTCTCTTTCATTGACGTGCTATCGGCTGAGATTGGCTAAGGCGAATGTCAATGCCTCTCCAGCCTGGTTCCAGCTTAGATGTGAGGAGAAAAGCACGACACCCTGCTGGGCTCTGTGTGTGTGTGTGTGTGTGTGTGTGTGTGTGTGTGTGTGTGTGTGTGTTCATTGTATATAGTTATGGGTTTCATAAAGATATTTCACACACTCATCCAAGCATATCGTATACTTTAACCATATACACACTTTGTCTTAGTTAGGGTATTTATTGCTATGATAAAATGTGACGAAAAGCAACTTGGGGAGAGAAGGATTTATTTCAGCTTACAGTCCCCCATCACGGTCCATCGCTGAGGGGGAGCAGGGCAGGAACCTGGAGGTGGGAACTGAAGTACAGGTGACATTTTGTGCCATCCTCACCTGAACGTAGTCTCTCTTCAAGCAGCCATCCATTTTCAGGAGCTCCTGAGTAAGCGAGCTGTGGGACTGACTTCTGCTCACTCTTTAAGGGGTCCCTTCTGTCACTCACACCCACAGCTTTTATCATTTCTGCTGGTTCTGGCTTCTGTATTTATACAATCAATTATACCATTTCCTTCTCCCCTCCAGTCTTCTTTTCTTCTTCTGTTTTCTGGCGTGTTTCACTTCTTATCTCTTTGTGGATTCAGGAAACAAAAGCTATCAAAATGGCTTTTTGGGATTATATCATGTAATCAAGGCACTTCTATCCTGAGGTGGTCAACCCAACTACCATGGTGCAGAGGGCTTGAGTTTGGCTCTGACGTGCTTCTCCGCAAGGTTTATTTTATCTATGGGTTCAGAGTTGTCCTTGAATTAATCTAGAAATGCAGACTTATAAAGATGGATGCACACCATCTCGCTGAGGATAAATCTGAACACACAAAAGCCCCAAGCACTACTGTCTCCAGTGAGGCATCTAACCTAACCCGCCACCAGCTTCCTCCTCCTAGGCCTCTGCACTCCCCGTTTGGCTATGGCACTCTTCACCAGGGCCTGCATGGTTTCATTCTTCACTTTATTCAACGTTCCGTTTAAAATTGTTTCCTGTAAGGAGCCTTCTTTTACCACCTTATCTGGACTAGCACACATTTTCTCTCTCTCTCTCTCCTTCTCCAGACCCACCCCTTTCACAGTATTTATCACCACCTCGGCACGTCTTGATGTGATGGTTTATTCGTTTTGTGGGTCTTTTTCCACCTGGTGTTATGTGGTGAGTTCCAGGAGAACAAGGTTGGTGGCTGCTCATTCTTCTAGAAACGAAACTGCCTTCTTGCTGATTCCTTCAGCATGTAGAGCCCCTACTGACCTCAGCCTTTGTCCTGCTTTCTTTCTGCACAGAAAGCTGCTCCCCGGATGTCACGTGACTTACCCTCATCCACTGACACCCCTCCACAGGCAGGGCTTGTCCTGACTCTCTGTCATTCTCCATCTCCCAGGCTTTGATTGCACTTGCCACACTCAGATACTAAACACTCATTTCTTATTTATTTATCCCCTCACTAGACTACAAACGCCACAGTGATAATCACTGCATCCTCAGCTTTTCAAGCAGTTCATCAAAAAATTTAGTTAGGTGTTCAATAAGTTTCTGTCAAATAAATAAATTCACCATCCTAAGAAATAGTTTAAAATTTTTGTTAGTCTCAAAGAGTCTCAAGATGAAAGCTTATTTTACTTGGATCTGCTAAATGGAATAGATATCCACTTGCTTACAAAGAAATTGAAAAGTAAGATAACAAAGGTATTTCATAATTATATAGAAAAATGATGCGGCTCCTATGATTTTGCTCCCAGGCTAATCCAAGAAACTGCCAGGTACCTGGAGTTTGTCTTCTGTTTCCTTTCTAAGAACCTGTCCTGCCTTCTGCCCCCTCTTCTCTCAGGTCTCTTCTCTGCTAGTGATGGGCAAATCTTGCTGTAAGTTTATCTTGTGGCGAGTTTCGGATCACTGAGCAGACACTTGCTCTTACTGGCCCTTCTCTTCACATATAATCATTGAATTACTTCTACTGGAAATGCATGGGCTCATGAAAAGCTATATTTTTATATGCAGTTCTTAAGGAAGAATGCATTGCTGCAGCCTACTTAGAGCATAGTACTGCTAAACCAACAACACTAAAAACAAAAGAGAGGTGGGGCAGGTTTTTACACCCGCAAGTGGCTTTACCGTGAAACCAAGCTTCAGGACCCCCCATTTATATGAGACATTAGTCATGTTTTTCTACCATTTTTCTTAAAGTGTCCTCTGGATTGTTGCCATTTGGTATTATCAAGTATTGATTTTACGTACTAATAGTACACAGCATATTTTAACACAAGCAAACACAAACTGACCCAATCAGGCTAATTAGCATTTCTAACTAGCATTTCCTTCCCTTATCTTTTTTGTTTGTTTGTTTGAGTCTTTGAGCATCCCTTTTCTAACTCTTCACAAAACGGGACAGTTTACTACAGACCATTGTCATCCCTCTCTGCTGCACGCCGGAGCTGATCCTCTCTACCCCTGTCTTGGTATCTGTTAGCCAACGCGCTTTACAGGTTTTTCTCTGCCCACCGACATCAAACTACAAAGTATTTTAAGATTTGCCTAAAGGATGATGACCTACTATGGTAAAATTTGTGCAAAAAACCTTTTAGGCAGAAGAAATACCATACTAAGTCCCTACAGATCACAGATTTACTGAAATAAGAGAATGCCAACGTTAGGAATAGCGCCCCCCATTGGAGTAGTGGAGACATGTCAGATTATGAAAGCTCAGAAAAGCAGTGTTAAAAATTGGAGACTTACATATGCGGTTTTAAGCTTGTATTTTTAAAAGATCATTCTAGTAGCAGTGTGGAAAATAAATATAATTTGGGCCCAATTCTAAATTGCATCATAAAGTGAAAATCATTGTTCAGATGAAAGGAAGTGAATCTGAGAATTATGACACGAAATTATATTTTGAATTTTATTTTTCTGCTCAAAATGAACGTTCTCTTCATTTTAAAAGAGTGAAATTATTCTAGTTCTCCAAAATTAAAAACAATATATCTAAAATATAAAGAAAATTTCATCATGATTAATTTTCTTCCTTGTAACCTCTCTAGGAGCCAAATTTTATTATGATTTTTTAATTAATTCAAAATACACAGGAAACTGCAACCTGAGATGAGACAAATTCAAATAAATATATTTTAAAACAATAAACTTTTATATTTGTTAAGCTAACCAAATACAGTCTTAGTTACTTTTCGTATTGCTGTGACAAAAATACCCCGACAAAAACAACTTCCGGGAGAGAAATGGCTTTGACTCACCGCTCCAAACTATAGTCAAGCATCACAGGGCACTCATGGCAGCAGGAACTTGAGGCAGTTCATCACAGGCAGCTCTCAGTCACACCATGTCTGCAGTCCCTAAGCAGGAAATGACCAACACTGGTATTCAGCTCACTTTCTTCTTTTCATGTAGGTCCCAGGACCCAAGTCCAGAGAATAGTGCTGTCTACTTGTAGGTGGATCTGCCCGCCCACCTCAATTAATCTAATCTAGATAATCCCTCACAAGCATGTACAGAGACTTGTCTGTGATCGTGAATCCTGTCAAGCTGATAACCAATATCAACAGTTAGAAAGCCCAAACCGATAAAATTGAAACAGGATGAATGCACAATATTAATGGTCTTCTCCATCTGGAGAACAATATAGTACTAAGCAACAAAAGCTACATAACTATTCTTTGCTCCAATAATATCACTTTTAAAAAAAATCCTCAAAATCAACTTTAGACTGGGATTAAAGTACAGTTGTTTTCTAGTTAGAATATAATTAGATTGTAACTTAGAGAAATTTTAATAGATAGTCTTTTATAAACTCCTTTTGGGAGGGCAGATTATAAGTAAATCAAATTACCCAACGATGATGTAGCTCTGAAGTTGATAGAGCTGACAATTTAGGAAAGGGCACTGTCTTAGTTAGGGTTTCTATTGCTGTGCAGAGACACCATGACCACAGCAACTCTTATAAAGGAAAACATTTAATTGAGGTGGCAGCTTACATTTTCAGAGGTTTAGTCCATTATCATCATGGCAAGGAGCGTGACAGTGTGCAGGCAGAACATGGTGCTGGAGAAGGAGATGCTGCATGTTGATATGTAGGCAACAGGAAGTAGATGGAGTGTCACACTGAGAGATGCTTGAATAAGAGACCTCAAAACCTGCCCCCACAATGACATACTCTCTTCAACAAGGCCACACCTACTTAACAAAACCACACCTCCTAACACTGCCATTCCCTTTGGGGGCCGTTTTCTTTCAAATCACCACAGGGATCTATTTTATCATTCATTATATTCATTTTACGAGGTAATCGTTGTTTTTGTTTGAGATAGGGTCTCACCATGTAGCCCTGGCTGGTCTGGAACCTGCTCTGTAGACCAGGCTGGCCTCAGATTCACAGAGATCTGCCTGCCTCTGCTTCCTGAATTCTGGGATGAAAACTGTGTACCACTATACCTGGCTATTAACTGTCTTCCTACATTTAAAAAAACAATGTAATTCTGGGGCTGGCAAGACAGCTTAGTGGATAAAGGCACTGACGGCCAAGCTTGGTGATCTGAGTTCAGTCTTTGGGACCCATGTGGTAGAAGGAGAGAAGAGATTCCTGCAAGTTGTCCTCTGAATACCATATGTGTCCTGGCACTCAGGCCTCTGCATGCCCCCAGCCCATAAATAAACAATGAAAATTTAAAAAGAAAAATATATAATCAAATAGTAAGGCTTACAAACATAAACACATTGGATCATTTTAAATAAGTAACTATTTAAAATATTCAGTAAAAGATGAAGTAGAAATAAATTGAGAAAGATGTTTATACTTGTGACTATAAACAAAAATGTAATATTCACAATATAGAGTTCTTAAAATGGTTAGGTAGAAATCTGACACAATAAAACTAGGTTAGTGACATAAACAACGTCAGAAGATGAACTGGAAAAATGGACAGTAAGGATAACAAAAGATTTTCAACTTAATAGTAAAGGAAAAGCAAGGAAGGAAAGGAAGGAGGAAGGGAGGGAGGGAGGGAGGGAGGGAGGGAGGGAGGGAGGGAGGGAAGAAAATCTTTTTGACTTACCAAAGATGAAAAGGACTTGCTATAATGGTGTGTATTAAGAATGGACCTTCAGGGAGAAACTGCTGAGAGTTTTTGAGAACCAGCTGCTCTTCCAGGGGATCCGGGTTTCGTTCCCAGCACCCACATGGCAGGTTACAGCTGTATGTAAGTCCAGTCCCAGGGTAGCCAACACTTTCTTCTAGCCTCTGCTGGGACTACAACACATGAGTTACAGACTTACATTCAGGCTTTGTGGAATTGCAAATTCATGTTTCCGAAGGGAACAATTTAAAAATAGGTACCGCTTTAAAAGCAGATCCACCCTTTTGATCTAGTGATTTCTCTTCTAGGGTTGTATTCTTAGTCTGTAACTACAAAAAGCACTCAAAGACAGATACACGGGCCATGTCTACAGCACCACTTTCTGCTGGTGAAGCTTTGGAAACCATCTGTCCTTTAACAGTGACTGACTTAATAATTTATTGCTCAATTAGACTGCACAACCACATAAAAAGAACAGACCTATCTTGAAAGACATTAGATGTTTACAACGTATTATTTCTCTAAACTCGGTGTAGAAAACAGTATGCATCTGACTTGATACAGTCATACAAAACCCTGTGTATACGTGTGTGTGATAAGATAGCTAGAAAAGTGGCAGGCAGCATTATAGAAGAAGCTATCTTTGAGATTTTTGTGTGATTTTACTTTTACTTTTATACTTTTGATTTTAGAAGCGATGACTATGTACTGTAAACTAAAATCGGGGTGGAGAGGAGTGAAAAAAATGTACTTCCCATGTTATTTGTTGTTGTTGTTTTGAACATTTTATGTAAAATACATGGTAGCATGTTGTACAGGCTGGTTTTGTGTGTCACTTGACACAAATTAGAGTCATCAGAGAGGAGGGAGCCTCAGTTGAGGAAATGCCTCCATGAGACCCCGCTGGAAGGCGTTTTCTCAATTAGTGATCAATGCGGGAGGGTCCAGCCCATTGTTGATGGTGCCATTCCTGGGCTGACAGTTCTGGGTTCAATAAGAAAGCAGGCTGAGCAAGCCATGGCACTCCTCCGTGGTTCTGAATCAGCTCCTGTCTCCAGGTTCCTTCCCTGCTTGAGTTCCTGTCCCGACTTCCTTTGGCGATGAACAGCAATGTGGAAGTGTAAGCTGAATAAACCCTTTCCTCCCCAGCTTGCTTTTGGTCATGGTGTTTTGTTACAGCAATAGAAACCCTACCTAAGACACATTATGTATACGCATCTTCAATTTCATCCACTAGAATGAGAGCTCTCCCACTGGTTACGAGTTACAGTCCTTTCTTTATACTTAATGCTTCATATTGAGAAAAAATTTTTGAAACACCTTCATAATTTATGTCATTAATATGTAAAATGTAAAAGTAGAAGTGGTTAATTGGAATTTGAGTGTAACAATTTTAATTTTTTCTTTTTTTTTTTCATTAATTACATTTAAGAAATCTCTATTAAGGCAAGTCTATTTTTACATGAGAGATTTGTCTTTCGCTTTACCCTGATTTGAAACCCCATACCCTCCTTGCGCAGGGAGTTTGGTCTGGGAATGCTCTAACCGCCCCTGGACTGTTTCATCCCCACCCCACCCCCAACATTGCTGGACTGTTCCATTTTCACAGAGAGAGGGGGGGTAATTCTTAGAAATCTAACTTTTTTAGTCCCCTATCTAGCAAAGACACTTCATCATCACCAATCAACAGAAAAACTTACAGTAAGCAAACGCTTGCAATAATGTAAGTGAATCTGAGCTTAAATTTTAAGTTGGGACCAGAGGGTCCCTCGCTCTAACAAGAACTCCGTGTAGAGAACGCTTTGATCATAGGCTCAGGTATGGGGCAGCGTGACTTTCCCCACTCTTAAAGGCTTAGGTAGCTCTCTAGTATTACAGAGTCTCTACTAGTGTTTCCTTCCAGATGTACCAGCACTCATTCCGTCCCTCTTTTCATGAGTTCTCTAACTACAATTAATAGAACCTTTGGTTTGGGACCTCGTCCCTGCTCAGGGGTTCAGAAGGTCGGGGGACTGGGCGGGCTGCAATACCATAAATAGGATATTCAAGCTTCAAATGCCAGGAGCTATGGACAATATGAGAGGGAAGTCTAAACGCCTGGCATTCACCCCGGGAGACCATTTGTTTCAAAGGAACAGTATCACTGTCTTTCATATACTGACAAAGATTTCACCAGGTTCCGGGAAGAATTAAGAGTGGCATTACAGTCATCCTCACTTTGTTTATCTAGATAACACATATCCACTTAGTTTATTATATCGTTCTGCCATGTTCAACTAAATTAATATACTGAAAAAGCAGAAGTTTGGATAAATCTAAAGATCGGGATACCTAGGAAGAGCCACCTCGCACAGACAACATACAGAACTATCTTTGTACAAATGCTATAAATAACGTAATTTTGTTTTATAAATGATTTTGTTCAGAATGAAGAGAAAGCACACACACACACACACACACACACACACACACACACACACACACACACACACAGGCAGTGTGTGTTGGGAGGGAGAGAGAGAGAGAGAGAGAGAGAAATTTTTGATTAATATAATTGAAGTCAAATCCAAAGAGAAAACTGTTGAGTCCTTACAAAAAGAAAAAGAAATGTAACTTTAACGGGAAAAATGAATTCTCCACGACTTCCTACATGCTTGGGATTTGCATGTTTTATTTCATTTGCTTTTCACTGAAAAGTCCAATGAAATTTTAGTTCAAGTAATTTTCTCAAGGATAAAAAACTAGAAGTTACAGAGTAAGGATGTGGGGATAAATGTTATTCTTAAATTAATGACTTCTTTCATGTGCTCTCTCCAAGGGAAGGACTTTAGCAGTTACTATCCTGTCTCACTTTCAGTTTAAACCAGTTAGCCAGGAAGGTTAGCTTCCAAGCGGCCAGGTTACTAGCGGTAGGATGGAAATGAAAATGTAGACATTGGGATTCAGACTATTTTCTTACTCCAGTGAGTAAATCATTTTGTCTTTTGCTCTTTAGCCAATGTAGATTTGAAGATTTGGAAAATATTTGTAACCACTTCATTTAAGCTAGGTCTTAATAATAGTAACTTTTCTAGAACAAATAAGACTAATGGTACAGTGTACATACTGCATCTGTGATCATTTGAATGTAAGTAGCTATATATAGCCTGAGAATTTCGTGTGATGATGATTTACTAAGACTCAGCCCGCCTATTTTTTCCTTTCTTATAAACTCTTGGTGACTTAGGCCAATCATTTTCAGCTTATTCATCGCTGAAAGAGACACGTTGTATAACACTTTAGTCATGGCATATTAATTTCGTAGTAAAGCCAAGGCAATTTCTTGGTTTCTAATTGCAGTAAAATGGAAAGTTTCTGAAAAGTCTGTGAAAGGTTGACTGGTAACATTTTTTTTGAGAGGAGAAACACTTGAACTCTTGGGCGTTATTTAGGGACTTACAAATATTCTTTTCAAAACATTTGCATCAGTTCTATAAGGCAGATTATATATTTGAAATGTTTCAAAATTAAAACTACCCAATAATACCACACATTTATTTAGAGCTGGTTATATGCTAGGCATTACAGTAAAATCTAACAATTATAGATTCCTTTTGCCCTAGCCGTGAACAATAGCCACCATTATAATTCCTAATTTCAAATGAAAAAAATGGGGCTGAGAAAGTTACATGACTCGCTTGGAATAGGAAGACTTGCACCCAGCATCTGAACTGCAATGTGTACTGCTAATCAAGAGGAAAGAAGTGAAACGGCAAACTTTTCAGCTCTTCCGTCCAGCACACTCATCTGATATTACCAGTGACTTAGTCCCTAATAAAAATGAGTGGCCAATCCAGTAGCACCGGCTGGGGAGTAGGCAACACGTAAATAGGGAAGTCCTGTACGTCATCTGTGTGACATGGCTCTTCCTAGGTATCACATCTTTAGATTTACCCTGTATCTGTATGTCTCTGGGGTTGGTTTTTTGTTTGACTTCTTCTTTTGCAATACATCAATATAGTTGAACATGACTGAACTATATGATAAACTACCACAAAATTGAATATGTGTATCTATAGATAAGCAAAGTATAAATAATATTGAGTATGATTGCAATGTTATTCCTAATTATTTTTTAATTATTTATTTATTATTTTTATTTTGTGTGCATTGGTATTTTGCCTGCATGTATATCTGTGTGAGGGTGTTAGGTCCTCTGGAACTGGAGTTACAGACAGTTGTGAGCTGCCATGTGGGTGCTGGAAATTGAACCCAGGTCCTCTGGAAGAGCAGCCAGAGCTCTTAACCACTGAGCCTGTTACTCCTAATTCTTACTAGGAACCTGGTGAAATACTGGTCAGTATATGAAAGGCAGTGATGTTGTTCCTTTGAAGCAAATGGTCTTCCATGGTCTATTGATTTGTCTGTGCATACATGTGGACAAATACCTGCCAATGTATGTATCATTTCAGCTTTGTGTGCACTTGTGTGTGTGTGTGTGCATGTTTATTGAGATTGGTGTCACCATGTAGTCTAGACTTGCCTGCATAGCACAAGCTATGCTATCACTTGAGATATTCCTGCTCCAGCCTCCTGAGTGATAAGATTTTAGGCATGTATCACTGTGCCTAGCATAGTCCATATTGGTCTCTTGTGTCAGGGTAGTCATCAGAAGGAAGTTTAGTTCTACTTGTAAGAATGCAGAAGAGGGAGTATCAGAGTGTGGAAGAGGATACTCTTGAGGGTCCACAGTAAACTGTGGTAAGAAGAGTTGGGTCATGTTTGGTAGATAAAGCACAGGAACATAGCTCCAACTCAGTAGGTAGCCAAGGCCAGCCTTGAACTCCTGATCCTTCTGCCTTTTGAGTGCTGAGATACAAGTGTGTCTCACCATGCCTGGCTTTGAAGAAATTGTTTTAAGTCTATACTTATTGCGTGAGTTACTTATTTACGGTATGTGTGGTGTATGGATGTGTGACGCATGCCAAGTGTGCATTTGCATGCAGAGGCCAGAGTAGAGCACTGCTTGTCTTCCTGTCACTCTCCATTTTATTGTCTTGAGAGAGGATCTCTCCCTGGACCGGAAGCTCACTCTTCCAGCTAGGCTGGCCAAGGGAGCTCTTTGGATCTGCTTCTTTCCACCTCCACCCCCAGATGCTGGGGATTGCAGGCATGTACATACATGCCTGACTCT